GTATAATTCATAAATACACAGACTTCCAGACTTCCACACTCTGCTTGCTTCTTTTGATCTCAAGCGAGTATTAACTACGGCTACTCACAAATCAGGCAACCAACTGGACCTTATTTACACACGACACTGCTCATGTGCTGGTTACTCCACTGCACACCTCGGATCACTTCCTCCTCGCTCTTAACCTCGACATGGTTCCTGACACAACACATACCCCTACATGTCATCTTTCTACGTAACCTACGCTCTCTCTCACCCTCTCGGCTATCTGCTTTGGTTTCATCTTTGCTTCCTTCCCCTGAACAGTTATCATCTCTTGATGTTAACCGTGCTACTGATACTTTCTGCTCCACTCTTACGTCTTGTTTAGACACTGTCTGCCCCTTGTCTTCCAGGCCAGCTCGTACCACCTCTTCTGCCCCTTGGTTGGCTGATGTTCTCCGTGAGTATCGTTCTAAGCTCAGAGCTGCAGAAAGAGTATGGCGCAAATCACAAAATCCTACTGACCTTAATGTACAGTATATCGATCACTCCTCTCTTCATTCTCTGCTAATCCCTCCACTGCTAAAAGGACATACTATCACAACAAAATTAACAATTCGCCTAACTCTCGCATCCTCTTTAAAACATTTTCCTCCCTCCTTTATCCTCCTCCTCCCCCTCCTTCATCAACTCTAACAGCTGACGACTTTTGCTAACTAGTGAAACACTCCATTAATATGACGAGCTGCAGGGTCGTTTGAGGTTGAACTACTTCTATATAATGATTGTGGCATCGTGACACACCTGGACAAATCTGCTCATTTTCAGTGTGTGTGTGTTTATGAAATGGAGCGCACGGTACCTCTTGACGCAGCTCATCCACCTCCGCTGCTGCTCGCAGAGCCACTCGAACTGTTCAGCCGTTTCACGGAGTTTGCCGAGACTCTCCGAATTCTCGCGCCGCAGTTCCTCCACCGTCCTCTGGTGGGCGCTGCGCTGATAGCACAGATCCTGCCGCAGGGCTTCATGAGACATCTGGAGCTCCATCAGCTCGAGCGATTTACTGATCAATCAAAAAAATACATAAATAAATAAAACAAGCATATGAATATTCTAGGATGATTGAGCAAAAAAGGCCCATTATCTAGTGTATTGATGTATTAAGTTTAGTATTAAGTTTCAAATAGTAAACTTTTTTTTTATTATTTCATAAAAAATTAAACATTATTTGAATACAATATAATAATAAAAAAACACTTAGAACATCCGATTTGCACTGTGCATGTAAACGGATAAACAGCTTGTGTGTGTGGTGTGTGTGTGTGAGTGTGTGTGTGTGTGTGTGTGTGTGTGTGTGTGTGTGTGTGTGTGTTGTGTGTGTG